AGGTAAATCACTCTTTTGCAGATGAGGACGTCACTCTGATACCCCGTTAACAGGATTATAATCGTTTTTTACCTGCACCAGAATTGAAAGACTAGAGAGGCCCTAATTATTTTCGACTTAACAATTTTGTAGAAAAACGTACATGGGTTAAGTTCGTTTCAGCCTTATGACCTAAGAAAAATTTACTTTATTTATGTGACAAGCTATTACGGTCAGTGGGGAACGTGTGGTGGAAACCTTTTGGTTGGGTTTAATACGTGCTTCTTGCATGATAAATTACACTAGCTGTACACTGATAACCAGATAACCGATGAGAGAAAGATTAATTGCAACGAAATTGCAATGACGTCAGGGGCAAATAAAATTGATTTGATAACGTTGGTCCTGTGTCGGTCCCGTGACCGGTTCGGCCGTCTTATGGGCTCGAAAATCCTTCAATAAGAATGAGCGAGACCAGGTTTTTTTTAGCATGCAAGACTAAGCCCCCAGCCAAATCCTTGCCTTCACTAAAACGGCTGGACGCACTACCTGGTTGAGGTCATTGTTATCTAAGGTCCTCCCAAGGGCTCCTAAATACGTAAAATATTCTGTCAACAAGCCAACGCCCTACCCTTGCCCAACCCCCGCTTTTGCACGAAAGGAGATCGAGAAAAATTGGCCCTCGAAACCACACTAGATAGCAGACGTTTCTTTTCTTTTCTGTTATTTTCTGTCATTTTTTTCCTTGCGGTAAACATTGCCTGAAAAGTCTACCCTTTAATATATTTCAACTAGTGAAACCCATATCCTTTCATATACCTGAAGACTTAAAAAGGAACTCCTTTGGGTTCGGTTAAGGCCTCCCCATAAAGGCTGTCACAGGGAGCTTCCCCGGATTTCCCTTATGCCCTATGTTAATTAAGTGCGTTTTGTATGTACAATGTCAAACCCCAAGCTTCATATCGCTTGACTACACGAACAAACGAAACGAAGCCCAGCTGCAAAACCCGGCTGCAAAACCAGGCCCCACTCTTTAAACAGTACTCCCAGCAGAAGTTCGTATGTAAATATAGTTCTAAGACTACAAAAATCCACTCTTTTTTATGAAAACAACAACCATTGGGCTGAAAAGCTCTTAGCTAATCCTATATGGTATCTTTACAATGAGAGCACAAAAGTATGATGAACAACATCAGGCCATCTCTGGTGTCGCGACACTATAAACTCTGTGTGTTCGGGGAGTAAGGTTTCAAGATCGGTTTATGTTTGCTTTGTCATTTTCGGGCTTCGACCTTGAGTGCACCTTCCTTGTCTAAGCAGGCTTCATGCACGTGTTATGTATTTTTGTCACTCTTCTGTTGTACGGCTCCACGGTTACTCAACACTCATCCACCGCGTCGGGACCTTTTTCCTGTTCGTCGTCGTTGCTGCGTTTAAGTTAACATAAGTTGATGATGATGATGATGATACCTTTATTAAAGTGTCAAGACTGTAATAGCGGTGTATAACCACTAAGTGGGGACACTAAAATAAATTTAGAAAATAAATCAATTAATAAATTAATTAAAATTAAGAAAAACTATGTACAGTATAAGCAAGTGTGAAATTCGAGAGAATTATATACAATATGTACAAATGTATCCATTATCTTATAAAAAAATAAGAAATAAAAGATTAAGAAGTGCAAAGAGAGCAGTTAGAGCAGTTATTGTCAGCTAATAGCATGCTAAGATCCACTTTTCTTATGTTATATTTGAAGGAGGACAACGTGGAAGCTTTTTTCACGTTACTAGGAACAGAACTCCATACCCTTGGGCCCATATACCTGAGCGAGTGCTTTCCAAAGGAGACTGTGTTGAATCTGGGTATAGTGAAGTCATGATTGCGCAGTTCATACTTAATTGCAGGCTGTTCAAAGAGAGTGCTAATGTAGGTTGGGCACATGTTGTTTTTTTAACTTTATACATGAGAATAGCTATGTCCTGTAGTCGCCGGTTGTGTAGAGTCGATAGCCCAGCCATAGATAGTAATTGACCATAGGACGAATGTTTATCACAATATATAGCCCTAAGTGCTCTTTCCTGGATACGCTCTAGTCGTCTAGAATCACTAGCACGGCAAAAATGCCATATAAGGTGACAGTAGGTTAAATACGGAAGAACAGCTGCCTTATATAACTGTAACTTAGTTTGTGTGGGTATAAGGTTCCTGAGCCTCATGAGAACGCCTACCCGCTGGGCACTCTTCTTAGAGATACTACTTATATGTTCATCAAAACGAAGATTGTTATCAATACAGACACCTAATAGCTTGAGACATTCAGTGGATCTGACTTCATGATTGTCAATCATAATACTGTCCGTAGACTTCCTTCCGCAACCAAGTGCCATTGTCTGGTACTTGTCCAAATTTCCCTTTAGTAAATTAGCTCTGTACCATGAAGATGCTGACTCAGCGCAAACAGCAAGATCATCATGCACATCAGAGAGGGTGCTGCGAACGACATAAAACTGGTGGTCATCTGCATACATATTCATGTTCGCATCAACAGTATAAGTCAAATCGTTTTGGAAGATGTTCCAGATGAGAGGTCCAAATGCAGAACCCTGTGGGCATCCCCTGGTCACCCTCTGCCACTCGCTCACTACAGATCCTAGCTTGACCCTGTTATAACGGTCTGTGAAGTAGGAGCCCATCAATCGCAGACTTCTTTCCTCAACACCATAAGCTTTAAGTTTTGCAAGTGTAAGTGGATGGTAAAGTGAATCGAAGGCTTTGCTCATGTCCGTGGAGAGAACACCCACAACGTTATGCTCATCCAGAGCGAATTTCCAATTCTCAGTCAAAGATAAGAGAGCTGTCTCACAGCTATTGTTTTTCCTGTAAGCTGTTAGTTTGTCGCACAGTTTGTTATTAAAACCATAACTGAGTTGCTTGCTGAGTAATTGTTCAAAGAGTTTGTTTACAGTAACTTGTACAGTTATGGGTCTGTAGTTTCCCATTTCATGGGGATCGTCCTTCTTGTCCATTCACCCCTTTTCCATCCCAAGGGCCACTCTCCGAGGGTTATACATGAATTAAATAGTGACGTCAATGGATTTGTTAGCTCAGTAGCTCCAAGCTTGAGCGCCATGGGAGGGATGCCGTCCCAGCCTGTACTCTTCCTTACATTGACGTTTTGCAGCGCCTTTTCAACTTCAAAACTCTGAAGATTCTGAAACTGGAAGCCCTGATATCCTGTCATCTTCTGCGTAATATTCTGGACACTAGGGTGGGTGGCGAGAACTTTGTCATCAACCGCACTGGTGTTTCCAATCCCATCAGCCACAGTAGCAAAATATTCACACAAGTGATTAGAAACCGCACATTGGTCTCTGCAGATGGTCCCGTTGATACTTAG